GGGAGACCTGCAACCCCATGTTTATTGCAGCACTGTTCATAATAGCTAGAATATCGAGCCAACCTGCGTGTCCAACAGATGAACGGTAAAGAAAATGTGTATATACACAAGGGAATTCCATTCAGCCATAAGAGAAAGTAAAAATCCTTTCATTTGCAGCAAGATGGATGAAACTGGAGGCCATTAAAGTAAGAGAAATAAGGCAGACCCTGACAAGTACCACGTTTTCACTCATATGTTGGAGCTAAAAATGCTGACCTCATGAAGGTAGAGTGTAGGATGATGGTTACCAGAGACTGGGATGGGTTTATGTCTGTGGGAGGGGATAAAGAGAGGTTAGTCAATGGTTGCAAACATTAGTTGGAAGAAATAAATACCTGTGTTTGACAGCACAGTAGGGTGACTATAATTAACAATATGTATTTCAAAAAAGCTAGAAGATTTGAAATGTTCCCAACACAAATAAATGATAAATACTTGAGGTGATGAATATCCTAAATACCTGATCAATAACTTAATTTGATCATTATACATTTCATGAATGTATCAAAGTATCAAATGTATGCCATAAAAATATACAAATATTGGTAAAAAATTACAAAGAATTATGTATAATAACCAACAAAAATAAAAGATCAAGGAAAAGTAATCCTTTAAATCATGCAGGGGAGTCTTCCAGTGAGTTCCTTCAATGAACAGGAATGGCCTTTCCCTCATGCCTTTTAAAGTGTCAGCATCTTGCTAAGTTAAGTGGAACTTTTGTATTAAAACACAGCACTGATTTGAATAATGTCTTACCTCAAATGAAAGCCAAATACTTCTTAGTGATTCTTTCAAATGCTGGGAAAAAAAAAACATCAATGAGGTATTTTTGAGATACATATTTTTTTTTCTGATCTGATAAGATTTGCAAGAGTATTATCAGTGATCTATATTTTTTTCTTCACCTAATAGACTAATGTTAGAACCTAACCCAGGAGTAAGCTGTGACTCCATTGCATTCTCCATTAAGAATAAATAAAATTTACCCAGGCCAAGGAGTCCAAGGCAGATAACTGGACTCTGCCAGATGCTGCAGGACTAGGCAGCAGCTGCCTGGAGTCAGCAGATAGCTAATAAAGAGGCAGGCACATCCAGGGTGGTAGACAGGTTTCAGACACAAATAACAGTGGGTAGGAAAGTACAGCTACTGGGATTTCAGGCTTAAAAACAGATTCCAGAGATGAAGAGATAAGCAAATAAAGGGAGAAGAAAACAAGAAGGAAAGGCTAGTAAATGGTATTACAATCTGATTAGAGTGGAGAAGTCACTTGATTTCTGATATATTGGGTCAATCTCAGGTTATATGCCAATTAGGTACAATTAACATTTTAGCCATCTCTTTGCTTCAAATACCCAAATATTTTATTCCATAATCAAATTTTCTTTTTTTTCTGTTTGTCTTAACATGGTTTGGCCATGTTAAACATGAATTTATACTGGAGGAATCAAAGATGTGTTATATATTTAAAAATAATTTTGTATAGTACAGCTCTTGTTAGGGTATAAACACATTTGATTGAAGAATTTTCTTTGCTCTTAGAGGACACTAAGAGAAAAAATACTGCAAAACTACAGAGAAAAATTATGGCGCAAGTAAAACAGCAATATTAACTTTTTGCTGTTAGTATGCCAGGGATACTTAAAATTTGTTGTAGATTGACTACCGCGGAAAACAGACTCAGATGGAAATGAGTGTGAAGGATGTTTCTTAGGGAGTGGACTTGGGCTCAGCACTTGGGGTGTGGGGAAAGGAAAGAATTAGGGTTGGGCAGAGGAAGAATTGGGGCTGTGATGCATCACAACAGGGACGCAGCTGACTCCAAAGGGAGCCCTGAAGCTTGGGTAGCTTTGCAGAGTTGTTCGTCTTTGGGGAGAGGAGCTGGCTGTTTATCCCCAGTACTTGGGTAGGGATTCACTGGAGAAGAGGTAATCTCTTTCAGCGAGGTCATACCCAGCTCGGGGTATATGTCCTTGGGTCTTGAAGGGAATAGGGCAGAGAGATCTGGGCACTGCAGCATTCATGACAATTCCTCCATATTTCTGTGGCCATTTGTCTCATATAAGTTCTCAGGGTGGCTCCTTTAGGACTCTGGTGGGACTTTCTCTTTGGAGAAACTTGTAAGGTTATAAGGGAAAAAGGTTAGTAGGACAAATTGCAGCCCCCGCTGGCTACTGGGGAGGCAGAGCTCTAGGCTAAACCCTCTGATTCATTCTAGAGCCCTTTACCTTAGTTCTTACAATGGTAGAAGGATGCTAACTTTGTGGGTAGCCCTCAACTTCCTTCCTGTGGGGACCAAGTTCATGTTTACTTTTCTTAGGCTATGGCTATGGCTATTATGGGTTTATGATTAAAATTAGATGATGGAATACTAACGTGTGCCAACTACCTTGGTGTTAAGCTGATTGCTCACTTCTCCAATGTGGAATAGCAGGTTTCCTCCTGATGACTAGGCCATGTACCTTTTCCAGGATGGCAATTATCCCTATTCTGTTTGTTGTTGTTGGCCCTGAACACAAGGTGCACAAAACGTTGAAGGGGCAGCTGTATTTTCTATCTGCTGGTAGAAGAGTTCTCTATACCGGTGGTGCCCAGAATTGTGGAAATGGGAAGCATGCATTCCCAAAGTGGGTTACTGGGGGTGATAGCGGCAGGAGCCATTGTGGCTTCCATGCCTTAATTCTGAGACCCATATATTTTTTCTTTGGGGAATAGTGCATCAAATAATGGTCACTGATTTAGCATGCACACTGTATACTGGAGGATGGTGCCCCATTGTTCATTTCTAATAATGTTTAGAAATTTTACAAATGTTTCTAAACATTATTAGAAATTAATGTCAATGCCACTCAGAGTTTGTGAACCCTGCTACATATCGTCTAATGGAAGAACGCTAGGAAAAACTCCCGGATAAACATCTTAAACAGAACTTGCCATTGTGTGTCAAAGACTCTGCTAATGATGCAGCCTCCCAGTACAAACAATACCTATGACTTGTCCTCAGCTTTTCAATCTGGGTTTGCTCTACAGTAGAATTAGAATTTAAAACACCATGTCAGCCAACTCAGTGAAGTTCAATTGTGAGTAGAATTTCTGCTTCTGAATTCTTATAGTTTAAATTATGGCCTGTGTGTTGTAAACTCCAGAAACTTCTTTGAAAATGTGTGGGCAAAAAATGTTCCTCTAATAGCTATTGAAAGAATGCAGTTTACTAAAGGGAATTAGACTAGGGGATATAGATTTAATTCCATTCGCTTTGATTTAAAGCAAAATACAGTAAGAATTTGATAAATTTATGAACCCAAGCTAACCGGAACCCTCAGTTAACTTAATTTTTGTTGTTGTTGTTGCTATATTTCATAAGAAGGAGACAAAAAGTAGAAACTAGTTCACACTCAAGATTTATGTCCCGGCCGGGCGCGGTGGCTCAAGCCTGTAATCCCAGCACTTTGGGAGGCCGAGGCGGGTGGATCACGAGGTCAAGAGATCAAGACCATTCTGGTCAACATGGTGAAATGCCGTCTCTACTAAAACTACAAAAAATTAGCTGGGCATGGTGGCGCGTGCCTGTAATCCCAGCTACTCAGGAGGCTGAGGCAGGAGAATTGCCTGAACCCAGGAGGCGGAGGTTGCAGTGAGCCGAGATCGCGCCATTGCACTCCAGCCTGGGTAACAAGAGCGAAACTCCGTCTCAAAAAAAAAAAAGATTTATGTCCCTTCAAAAATCACCTTCCAGGGATGCATGAGTCCCATACAGATTCAATCCAGTGTTCACATCCCATATTTACAATCCCTATGCAGAGGTAATGATGTTTAAAATAATGACTCAAAGATATTACAAAATATAAAATGATCAAAGGAAGATTCAGTAATGTTCTGGAGACTGCCTATGTAGGAAAGAAAATTTGCCTATGTACTTAAAAAAAATCACACACACACGCAAGTGAATAGACTGACAAGTGTTACAAACAAACTCAGAGTTAATCAGATAATCAATTTCCAAAGCATTATGCTCACCTGTGGTCTTACTCTGTTTGATTTAACCCATACCTCACTTGGTGGCATCTATGTCCTCAGTAGTTTAGGCAACCTTTTCTCAAAGCCCCATGTCATCAGCAGTGCAAGGTTAGAGGTGTCCTGGTTCACACCTGTGTGTGTCTTTCCACATGTCGGACTTCTGTTGAAGAAGAACTCATCCTAATTCTCTGAGTTCTTCAGAGAATTTCCAATCACAAAAGCCACAAGCTACATGGAGTTCCCAAGGAGACAGTTCTCCTTAGCACTTCCCGTTCACTCTGTAGTCAGAGCCATGGGCAACACAGACTCAGTCCATTCGACAAGTCAGTCTACATTGTATACCATACATAATAGTATATTTAACCAAAATATAAATAATTATAGGTTAAATATTCCACAAAAAACAAGGTAGCACTTCACATCAAGAGGAGAAAGAGATAGGAGAAAGGGTAAATGAGCAAGTCCCAGTGGGAGCAAAGAAGACAAAAGGATTCCTGGTCTGGTCCATTGGTCTCCCAAGGAGGAGTCCTTGATGTGGAAGAGCCTTTAGAGGTGGATGCCAAGTGCTTATCGTGGCTGACTGCAAGACTGGGTTAATTAAGGTGGCTGTTTGGAGAGGCTGAGGGTCTGCATTTTTTTTTTTTTAAGTCTTAGAGTCCTCTGGTAAGAACCTACAGTGGAAGAGTGTGCTTGTTATGTCCTTACCTGGTTGGATGCTGTCTTTACATTTTTATTTGTTTGTTAACCAAAATATCCTTGTTGGCAAAGTCTCATATAAAATATAAAATGCAGTATTTTTCTAAGACGGAGTTTAATGAAGGGTTGCTCTATACACCCCAGTGTCATCGTTTTGGGGTATTTCTGGATTTACTTCCTCAGAGTTTACTCTCCTATTTCTGGGGGACTTTTCAATTTCTGTTGCTACCTGGTTGCCAAATATTACTTCTTTCTAGAATTCATTAAAGAATTAAAATCCAGTAAAAATATAAAGATTTTTGTGAGTTTTGAAAGAAAAGTCATATCACACAAGGAGTCAATGGAAATCTTCTTGGCCCAGTGTAATTTCCACCCTTCCTCTTGTGGCCATTCTTCATCCAAAACCTTCTGGGCCTCTGGCGAAGTGTCTGTCCCCACCTAGTACAGCCCCTAGGTCTTAGAAGGGAGTGATTCCCTGAAGCTGATAATAATTTTTAGCTCTCTCTTGGTCTCCTCTCCCTGTGTCCTGTTGAATTCTAATGAATAATATTCACATCACATTAAATTTTTATTTCTTATGAAATTTTTCTACATTGCCATCTCGTCTCCCAGTCCTTGAAGAATGAATAGCCCTTGATCTTGCAGGTCCAGCAATCTCAATTCAGTTCAGCTGCCACATTTGATAGATGAGGAAACTAAAGCTCAGAGAAGGGAAGTGATTTACCAAAAAATATTGGGGCTATTTGGAAGCAGAGCTGAAGCCGTAACTCTGGTCTTCTTCCTCTTAGGCCAATGCCCCTATCTACTTGTGTCATTTTTTGCTTCATTCCAGATTGGCAAGACTGTAATAATGAAAGATGACAGGGTTGCTTATGTACCTTGTGTTCTTGTCTATTATAACTATAAACCTGAGTATATGTTTCCCAGAATAGTTAATCATCTAATAGAAGTGTGTTAATCATCCCAGAATAGTTAATCATCTAATAGATAGTGTGATTTCTTGTCCTGTAAATCATGAAAAAACACCTCCTGTACCTTCTATTAATGTTTGCCATATTGTTTTTTAGGCTACGAGGAATTGGTCTCAGTGTAATTGTGTATAAATACTGCCCATTGGTCTCTCCTAATTAGCAGATGCTGACTAACATTACAAGGTAATAATTGGTTATACTGTATTAGGAGAATAACAATTATAACAATATTACTTGCCAAAAAACTTCATACTTTCTTTTCCTATTCAGTGAAGCAATTGTTTGGCTTTATGGCTACACACAGTTTTTCTTTCATAGCTAAGTTTATTTTAGTCATAAGGCAATCAAGTGGCACAAAAGTATTAAAAACTACAGGAAACCAACATCTAGCAAATAAATTTGAAGATCATGTTCACCCCAAATAAACAAGCGCCTTTAAAAAAATTCTTCCAACTTTTAACTTCAAACACAGAAAAGTTGAAAAAGAAGTACCATCAAGACACCTGTGCCCTTTATTTAGAGTCACAAATTATTAACATTTTCTGGGATTGGCTTTCTGTGTCTCTATGTCTCTTTTCCTCTTCACAGACACACTCATTTTCTCTCTTACACACACATACATATACATGCACACACTCACATTTTGGGGAGCTCTGAACTGCTTGAAAGCAAATTGCAGACATCAAGATTATACAAGAATACTTAAGGTATTTTTCCCAAAATTAGCACATTCTTTTATATTACTGCAATAACAATCACAAGACATTTGCAACTGATAATTAATATTATGTAGTATACAGTCTAAACTTAAATGTCTTCCAAGTGCTCTCAAATATTCTTTCTATTAGTCAGGGATCATATGTTGGATTTTTGGTCATGTTTCTTATTTTCATCAGTCTAGAATACTGCTTATCCTCCATGCTTTTCCCTCATCTTTCACAACCTTGACATTTTTGAAGAGTCCAGACTAATTGTCTGACAGAATGTTTCTCAAACTGGATTCATCTAACTGTTCTTCTGGATTAGATAAATGTTTAGACAAATATTATGTTTCCCATTGCATCACATCAGGAAGTTTATAATGTCACTGTATCTCAATATTTGTGAAGCTAAGCTTCATCTCTTCGTTTTAAATTTCATACTTAATAAACATTTGATGGGTAATAGACATATATGAAAGTCCTTTTCCTAACAATATGTTAGTGTATAGTATTAGGAGTAATTTCATGCCAGAATCTCATGTTACCTTGGTGGTATTTGCAAAACAGTGATTTTAAATTTCAGGTATTTTTCTAGATCAGGGGCCAGTAGATTTTTTCAGTAAAGAGCCACATTCTAAGTCTTTTAGGCTTTGTGGGCCACATATGGTCTCTGTTACATATTCTATTTCTTCTTTAGCTGTGTAAAAATTATTAGCTCATGGACGGCAGGAAAATAGTCTGCAGCAGGATTTGGGCCATGTGTAGTAATTTGTCAAAGTCCTGTTCTGTGTTATAAAGAAGAGCTTTCCTTTTCCTTGTAACACCTGTGTGTGTGTGTATGTGTGTCAGAGGGAGAGAATGAGAGTCTTTAATAACTTTATTTCTTTTATAGAGTTGGTCTGCTTAAGCTTTTGTTTTTTAAATAAATACTCTTTTGGATTTAACTTTGGTAGATAACACTGTCTTAAGAAAATTTCAATTTCATCTTCTTCTATGCTTTCTGATACAATACCCACTAGCTGCATGAGACCATTCAAATTTAAACTAATTATAATGAAATTAAAGTTAGAAATTAAATAAATTAATAATTAGAAAAAAATTCAGTTTCTTAGTCACATGAGCCACATTTAAGTGTACAAGTATTCACTCAACACACGTAGCTAGCGGCTACATATTGAACAGTGCAGATGTAGGACATTTTTATGATTTAGAAGTTGTATTGGATAGTAATCAATGCAGATTTCAAATGTATTTGCATAGAGTTGTGCAAAATAGTCCCTTATATATAATCATAAGTTAACTCTAATTATAAATTAGAGTTAACTTATAATTTTTTTCCTGTCTTTTTTGCTTTTATGCTTATTTCCTTTCTTACTAACTTGTCTATTTCCTTTTTTTCAAGGTACCAAAGTATTTATTATATCTACTGTTTTTTGCTTTTTATCTCGCATTTTCCTTTCCTTATGCTTGCTTTTGATTTAGTTTATCAGTTTGTTTGTTTTTTTAAACTTTTATTTTAGGTCCAGAGGTACCTGTGCAGGTTTATTATATAGGTGTCACTGGGGATTTGTGTACAGATTATTTGTCACCTATGTGGTAGGCACAGTACCTGATAGGTAGCTTTTCAGTCCTGACCCTCCTCCTTCCCTCCATCCTCAAATAAGTCCCAGCGTCTGCTGTGTCCATGTGTACTCAATGTTGAGCTTCTACTTGGGAGAACAAGTGGTGTGTGGTTTTCCATTCCTCTGTTAGTTGATGTAAGATAATGGCTTTTACCTTCATCAATGTTGCTGCAAAGGACATGACCTCATTCTGTTTTATGCCTCCATCGTGTTCCATGGTGTATATGTACCACATTTTCTTTATCGGTCTACCATCCATGGGCATTTAAGTTGGTTTCATGTCTTTGCTATTGGGAATCATGCTGCAATGAGCATATGCGTGCATGTATCTTTTTCTTTTCTCTTTTATTTTCCTTCCCTCCCTCCCTCCCTCCCTTCCTTCCTTCTGCTTTTCTTTCACTCTTTCTCTTTCTTTCTCTCTCTCTTCCTTTTCTTCCTTCCTTCCTTTTTCTTTCTTTTCTTTCCTCTCATTTTCCTTTCTTCCTTTCTCTCTTTCTCTCCTCCTTTCTCTTCCTCTCTTTCTCTTTCTTTCTTTCTCCTTCCCTCCCTCCCTCCCTCCTTCTCTCTGCTTCTGTCACCCAGGCTGGAGTGCAGTGGCACCATCTTGCCTCATTGCAAGCTCCACCTCCCAGGTTCAAATGATTCTTCTTCCTTAGCCTCCTAAGTAGCTGGGACCACAAGCGCCTGCCACCAGATCCAGCTAATTTTTGTATTTTTTATTAGAGGCTGGGTTTCTCCATGTTGCTCAGGTTATCAGGCTGGTCTTGAACTCCTGACCTAAGGTTATCTGCCCACCTCGGCCTCCCAAAGTGCTGGGATTACAGGTGTGAGCCACCGCACCTGGCCTCCACCACTCCCTTTTGTATCCCCCAACTCACACCTTGCCCCACGGTCATTTGTGAGTCCTGCACTAAATGGCCTTCAGTCCAGAGATCAGACATCAGACAGCAATCTGGACCTCTTCCTTGACGGGAGGTGAGACCTCCAGAAGAGGAAAATGCCTGCTTTGGAGCCCGCAGGCTGAACACAGTGACTCTCTGGGCAAACAGCTAGAACCGAACTGAGTAAAATCTCCAGCCAGAAAGAAAACTTCCCAGTCAACGCTTCCCTGACCCCATTTTACAGATTGAAACACTGAGGCTCAGAGGAGAGGAGGCAGAGCAGGCACTGAAGCCATAGTCTCCTGGCTCCAAAGCCAAGTCCTGTCCACCCAGCCAGGGTCCATCCTTCCTTCTGTAAATGTCTATAACAGCATGTGCTGGGCACTCTTGTTAGGCCCTTTTACACATATCACTCCGTCTGCTTTTCTCATTCGTTTGACAAGTGTTTATTGAGCTTCTACTGCGTGCAGGAGCTGGACTCGATACTAGGGACATCTTGGTAGAAAACTCAGGCAAAGTCTACCCACCTGGGGTTCTAACAAGACAAAGAGAGGGTTGGTGCCATGAACAAGGCTGTGAAGGCAATGAATGAAATGGTGGGGTCAGAGAGGAAGGGCGGTCAGGGATGCTCTCTGCATGGAAGGGGCATCTTCTTGGCTTTGAGACCCGAATGCCAAAATACCTGTGAGCAGCAGGCCATGCCCACTCAGTAACAGAGCTGAGCCACACCCCTCCATAGATGCCAAACCAAACACCAGATGAGGCCAGCAATGAGGGACAAAGACCATGTCCTGCAAGGGTCTTGCCACCTGAGCTCACAAGGTGATTTTTGTTATGCTTCTTTTTTATTATTATTATGGTGGGGTTGGGGGTCCTTAGTGCACAAGAAACACTCTAGGAACCATAAGTCAAGATCGAGGCTGCAATCCCTGCTCTGCCCTTGCTGTGTGACCTCGGGCTGCTATTGTCACTTCTCAGAGCCTCAGCATCCTTCCCCTTCTGTAAAATGGAGAGTCTAATTATACCCACCTGGCAAGCGGGTCCAGGGAAACCAGTGGCCCTGGGTCACAGATTTGTAATGGGGATTGAAATTACTGATAAGTGGCCAGGCATGTTGGTTCACACCCATAATCCCAGCACTTTGGGAGGCCGAGGCAGGTGGACCAGCTGAGGTCAGCAGTTTAAGACCAGCCTGGCCAACGTGGTAAAACCCCATCACTACTAAAAATACAAAAATTAGTCAGACCTGGTGGTGTGTCCCAGCTGCTCGGGAAGCTGAGGCAGGAGAATTGCTGGAACCCAGGAGATGGAGGTTGCAGTGAGCTGAGATCATGCCACTGTACTCCAGACTGGGCAACAAGAGTGAAACTTTTTCTCAAAAGAGCAAGCAAGCAAGCAAGCAATTATTGATAACCTTACAAATTGTCAGAGGCATACAAGGGACTCCGGGGGGACCACACCCACCCTCTCACATACAGGGCGGAGCAGTCTGCCCACCCAAGACCACACAGCGACTGGCTGTCAGCAGCTGCATCACCCCAGCCTCACCATTATGGCCTCAGGCTTCTGACCTGCCCTGGAGGGGCCCTTGGGCATCCCCTACCACCTCCTCTCCATTCCTCACTTTAGCTCTTCCCTGCCAAAGGCTGGGGATCTTAGGAGTTTGAGGTAGCCTGAGCCTCTGTCTGTGCTTTTACCCAGAGCCAGAGCACCAGGCCCCATGCATATCCCATGCTTGTGGAAGAGGGGGTGCTGTTCTTCCTCCAGGTTGATGACATGATAGATTGAAAAGTACATGGGAGGCTGGGTGCGGTGGCTCACGCCTGTAATCCCAGCACTTTGGGAGGCTGAGGCAGGTGGATCACCTGAGGTAGGAGTTCAAAACCAGCCTGGCCAACATGGTGAAACCCCATCTCCTAAACATACAAAAATTAGCTGGGCGTGGTGGCATTTGCCTGTAATCCCAGCTACTCAGGAGGCTGAGATAGGAGAATCACTTGAATCCAGGAAGCAGAGGTTATAGTGAGCCAAGATCACACCACTGCACTGCAGCCTGGGTGACAGAATGAGACTTCGTCTCAAAAAAAATAAAAGTGCATGGGCTGTGGAGGCAGAGAGATGGAATTGAATCCCAGCTTTTACTTCTCAGCTGTGTGCCCTTGGATGACTTTGCTTCTCTGAGCCTCAGTTTTCTCATCTGTGAAATGGGAACAACATTTGGCTTGCCGGGAGTCTTAGGATGACTAGGGAGTGCCTGGCACGTAGTAGGTGCTCAACATGCGTGCTTTCCAACGGCTATCTAAGAGGCCTCAGGGCTGCCCTCCTGCCCTTCCCCAACAACTCCTGTGACTGCCTCTTAAATGGGTACTCAGGGTGATAGGAGGAACAGGTGAGGGAGTCAGGCTGGATCCACACCCACCCACACCCATTGTTAGGAAAACAAGCTTTTAATGCCTGGCCCTGCTGCTGGTGGCTGAGAGTATAAAATAGGACCCAGAGCCAGCCTCTCCCTTCCTCTAAGGCACACCAAGGCAATAGTGTTTAAAAGGAAAGGAGGCGGCCGGGCCCGGTGGCTCACGCCTGTAATCCCAGCACTTTGGGAGGCCGACGCGGGTGGATCACGAGGTCAAGAGATCGAGACCATCCTGGTCAACATGGTGAAACCCCATCTCTACTAAAAATACAAAAAATCAGCTGGGCATGGTGGCGCGTGCCTGTAATCCCAGCTACTCAGGAGGCTGAGGCAGGAGAATTGCCTGAACCCAGGAGGCAGAGGTTGCGGTGAGCCGAGATCGCGCCATTGCACTCCAGCCTGGGTAACAAGAGCGAAACTCCGTCTCAAAAAAAAAAAAAAAAGGAAAGGAGGCAGTGGCATGGAGGCTCCAGAGACGGAGTCCTTCCTATGGCAAGAAGGGAGCCAGTGGGGCCCACTGCTGAGGGCCATCTGGCAGGTGTTCCAGTCTACCTTCCTCCTGGGACCCACAGCCTCTTCATCAGTGATGTCTTCAGGTTCACTGTCCCCAAGCTCCTTAGGTGAGTCCAGACTTCAGGAGCTCTGCTAAGGCTGGTGGTCTCTTAATGGCATCCCTCCAGGATCAGGAGGCTTCAGCTCTCCTGCCTCTGCCTATAGATCTGGTGCTTGGGACACTGGAGGGTGGGTGAGAAGGATACTGAGGAAGGGAAATGATTAATGAGAAAGTGACTGTCCCCCAGAAGGGCAAGTAAGCAAGCTCTTACCTGACTGCAGCAATTAGCTTTTGCTGTAAAATGCCCCAAAAGTGAGTGGCTTAAAATTACAAGCATTCATTTATTTTGTTCATGGTAATGTGGGTCAGTAACATGGGCTGGGCTCAGCTGGGTGGTTCTTCTTTTCTTGCCTGGATTTTCTCATGTGCCTGCAGTTGTGTGTCTGAAGCTGGGATGGCATTTTGTTCCATGTGGGTTCTCATCCTCCAGAAAGCTAGCTGAGACTTGTTCATGTGGCTGCTTGGGAGAGTTCTAACCAATAGGCCAAAAGCCACATTTTCTCTTGGAGCTCAGAGCTGGCATAGCTTTACCTCCACTCCACTCTGTTGGTCAAAGGTGGTTTTGTGGCCAGCCCAGATTCAAGTGGTGTCTGCTCAGCTGCCATAACAGAGCATCACAGACTGAGTAGCTTCAACAACAGAAATGTATTTTTCATATGATTCTGGAGGCTGGAAGTTCCAGATCGGGTATCTGCAAGTTGGTTCCATCTGAGGCCTCTGCCTTTGGTGTGCAAGTTGGCCACCTCCTCCCTGTGTCCTCATATGGTCTTTCCTCTGTGTGCGCCTTGGTGTCTCCCTGTGTGTCTACATTTTCTCCTCTTACAAGGACCCCAGTCAGACTGGATGAGGGTCCAGCCTAATGACCTCATTTTAACTTTATTGCCTCTTTAAAGGACCTATTTCCAAATAGTCACATTCAGAGGTACTGGGGCTTGGGGCCTTCACATACAAATTTTGTGAGGACACAATTTAGCCCATAACAAGGGGGTACAAAACACCATCTCTTAATCTTGAGGAGCTGCAGTCAGACTGAAAAGAAGCATGGACAGTGGGGGAAATAACCGAGATCATGATTGCGAAAAAGTCAACCATGCCGACTGATCCTCCACACCTGGCCTGGTTTGGGCAAAGGCAACGCACATGGGCACCTCCTCTCACCAGCTGTACCTTCTCCCTCCTTCCCCTGCAAGCCTTTTCCTGGAGCTTATGGGTGATCCCAAGCCTCCAGCCTGGAAGGGCTACCTCCTTGCCATGCTGATGTTCCTCTTGGCCTGCCTGCAAACACCGTTTGAGCAGCAGAACATGTACCGGCTCAAGTTGCTGCAGATAAGGCTGCAGTTGGCCACCACGGCCTGATGTACAGAAAGGTGAGCCCCAGGGGACAAGGGCAGGCCTTCCCGGTCGGGAAAAGCAACATCACTGAGCTGGTTGGTAGTAATGCTATCAGCAGCTGAGAATGTGTTCAGTCCTTACTTATTAGAGTCACCCACAATATATTCTCACATCCTTTGTTATTTCTCTTTATTTGTATATATGTATTTTTTCAAGAGAGTTTTGCTCTGTTGCCCAGGCTGGACTGCAGTGGTGCACTCTCGGCTCACTGCAACCTCCCCCTCCCGGGTTTAAGTGATTCTCCTGCCTTGGCCTCCTGAGTAGCTGAGATGACAGGCGCCTGCCACCACACCTGGCTCATTTTTGTATTTTTAGTAGAGACACGGTTTCACCATGTTGGCAAGGCTGGTCTCGAACTCCTGGCCTGGGTGATCTGCCCATCTTGGTTTCCCAGAGTGCTGGGATTACAGGTGTGAGCCACCTCACCTGGCTCTTGTAAAGTGTTTTAATTATCCTGTTTTACTGTTCCAGAGCTGGGGTTGTGATCTCAGCCCTGCTTTTCTCCACTCCTGCTAAGGGACTCCCCATAGGCAGCCCAGTCCCCACCTCTGTCCAAGAGACAGCATGCCTGGAAGTGAGATTGGGTCGGTCCTGCCTCAGTGCTGCTTCTGTTTTAAGTAAATATCCTGTGGGGTCAAGAGAGAAAATCCCAAGTGTACCTGTGGAACACCATGGGCATCCCCCAACTCAGGACAGTGGGAGAGATGGGGTGTTGGAGGGGAAGTGAACCTGGAAGCTGCTGAGCCCCACTCTGTCGCCTGCCCCAACCCCTGCCCCGACTTTTATTTTATTTTTTTTTGAGAGGGAGTCTTGCTCTGTCACCCAGGCTGGAATGCAGTGATGCGATCTTGGCTCATTGCAACCTCCACCTCCCAGGTTCAAGCAATTCTCCTGCCTCATCCTCCTCAGTAGCTGGGACTGCAGGTGAGTGCTACCACACCTGGCTAATTTTTGCATTTTTAGTAGAGCTGGGGTTTCACCATGTTGGCCAGGCTGGTCTCCAACTCCTGACGCTAGGCGACCCGCCCAACTTGGCCTCCCAAAGTGCTGGGATTCCAGGCGTGAGCCATCATGCTCAGCCAAGCCCTGCTCTGTTCTAATTCCACCACCTGTGAAAGGCTTCTGGAAACTCACAGAAACAATGGCCCCAGTATGACGGCTCCCATTCCCTTGCTCCCTGAGTTCTGGGGACCGACAGTGAGGAGTGATTGTTTTCCTCACTCACCTGGATGTGATGTGATGTGATGAGCCTGGTGAAAGAAGTTGCTGTTGCTGACTTGCACCTGGTCAGGCCCCTGCCCTGTGGAAATTACCCCCACTGAATCCTCATGCCTCAGTTACTCACTAACTCAGATCTCCAGCCCTGCCCCACGCTGGGTTAGGCTCCTCCCTGTCATGCCAACTGGGAATCTCCCGTGTGATACTTATTTTTTTATTTAGTTTTTTGAGTTGGGATCTCACTCTATCACCCAGGCTGGGATGCAGTGGCATGATCTCAGCTCACTGCAACCTCTGCCTCCCGGGTTCAAGTGATTCTCCTGCCTCAGCCTCCTGAATAGCTGGGATTACAGGCACGTGCCACCACGGCCTGCTAATTTTTGCATTTTTAGTAGAGACGGGGTTTCTCCTTGTTGGTCAGTTGGGTCTCAAATTCTTGCCCTTGTGATCCATCCACCTCAGCCTCCCAAAGTCTGGGATTACAGGTGTGAGCCACCATGCCTGACCAGTGTGACACATTAGTGAAGTCAGGTGCATAGGTGATGGCTGCCTGATCATCTTCCCACCACGGGGGAGCAGGGCTAGGGGCTGTGTGCTCTGGAAATTCCTCAGCTGTTTATGCTGGTAAGGGAAGAAGGAAGAAGGGGCCCTCGAGGGACGTGCGGTGAGGTTTGGTGGGGACATAGCTCACCAGATTGTACTTGGTTTTCCCATGTAACTTGTAACCGCTCTCATAGAAGGTGGCCTAGAACCCCAGGGAGTGGGGGTTGCTCATTATCACCTAGGGGTGGGGGGAAGAGAAGCTGAGGCTGTAAGAGCCAGCAGGCAGGACAGGGCAACCAGAGCCAGGTGTGGTGGCTCACGCCTGTAATTCTAGCAGTTTGGGAGACTGAGGCAGGTGGATGATTTGAGGTCAGGAGTTTGAGACCAGCTGGCCAACATGGTGAAACCCTATCTCTACTAAAAATACAAAAATTGGCCAGGCGTGGTGGCAGGAGCCTGTAATCCCTGCTACTTGGGAGGCTGAGGCAGGAGAATTGTGTGAACCCAGGAGGCAGAGGTTGCAGTGAGCCGAAATTGCATCACTGCACTCCAGCCTGGGTGATAGAACAATGCTCCCTCTCAAAACAAAAACAAAAACTGGCCAGGCATGATGGTTCACACCTGTAATCCCAGCAGTTTAGGAGGTGGAGGTGGACAGATCACCTGAGGTTGGGAGTTCGAGACCAGGCTGACCAACATGGTGAAACCGCAACTCTACTAAAAATACAAAATCAGCCAGGCATGCTAGTGCATCCCTGTAATCCCGGCTACTCAGGAGGGCGATGCAGGAGAATCGCTTGAACATGGGAGGCTGAGGTTGCAATGAGGCAAGATTATGCCATTGCACTCCAGCCTGGGCAACAAAAGCAAAACTCCGTCTCAAAAAAAAAAAAAAAAAAAAAAAAAAAAGAAAACAAACTTGCTCTGCCAATGTGGCTGCAGTTGCAATCCATGATGTGTCCCCCCAGCCCTGCTCCTGCCCCAACATCACCCACAACCGCCAGCTGTGGTTTCGAAGCCCTGCAGTGCAGACAGCGTGGATTTGCAGAGCTGTGAGCCTGGGGTCTGTCCTGCAGCAGGAGACACAGAGGAGGGAGCCCTGGGTTTGAGCCAGAGGCAGCCGGTGGTGTCCCCCTGCAGGCCCTGGTCCCCTTGTGTTTTGTGACACTCCCCCATATCCTCACACAAGCCACCCCCATTTTCAGCATGATTACAGATGCTCCTTGACTCATGACGGGGTCATGTCACCATAAATCTATCATAAATTGGTGATAGCAGCCAGGTGCAGTAGCTCATGTCTATAATCCCAGCACTTTGGGAGGTCAATGTGGGAAGGTTGCTTGATCCCAGGAGTTCAAGACCAGCCTGGGTAACACACACACACACACACACACACACACACACACACACACACACACACAAAGTTGAAAATATACTAAGTTGAAA